GAAACCTTGTGGGGTAGGGTAGTCCTACTCTGTCCTGTAAGGGCTGCTATGAGTTGGAATTGACTCATCGACACACAGTAGCAACACAGCACAAAAAGTTTGGTCCAGGTTGCCAAATCTCAGACAGTCAGGAGAGTTCCTGACACATAGTAGACCTTTAAATGCTAGTCGTATAAATGGAATATAGAGTATGAGGTGGTAAAGGTGAGTCTGAAGCCATACATGAGAGTCAGTGGTAGGTGGGTGTCAGCAGTAATATATACGTGGAGTTTATTGTATACTTCTATGTGCCAGGCACTATGCTGAGCACTTTATACATATTAGCTTAGTTAATCATCATAAGAATGCCATGAGGTAGATTATTATTATCCCTATTTTTTTTAATGAGGTAAGTGAGGCCCAGAGAGGTTAAGTAACTTGTCCAAGGTCACATACCTAGTAAATGATAGAGCTGGAATTTGAATGCTAAGAGTCAGGTTCCAGAACCTATCTTCTTAACCACTAACCTGAAGTACAAGGGGTTGATTTAAGGGGGGAAAGAGGCTCAGGGGTCTTCCAGGGCTGTGTAAATCAGCCCTTGTGTTCGTTGCAGTGCCTTAAGGCCTGTGGGAACATGGCCTCTGGGGAAACGACCTTGTAGAAGGACCTTAATACCAAATTAAAGGAACATTCCTATGGTTCCTCTAGTGTCATCACTACCTTGTCTCACCTTAAAGAGAATTCTAGGTTTGGAGAGAAATTCCAGCAGTGCCATCTCATGGGGGTGCTTGCAGACAAGTTTAACCAACAGATCAACCAGTTGCTGTGGAGTTGATTCTGACTCCTGGCGATCCTGTGTGTGTCAGAGTAGAACTGTGCTCCATAGGGCTTTCAGTGGCTGGTTTTTTGGACGTAGATAGCCAGGCCTTTCTTCCAAGGCACCTCTGGATGGACTCACACGTCCAACCTGTCAGTTAGCAGCCAAGCACGTTAATTGTTTGTATGACTCAGTGACTCCAAAGGCAGGTTAGAAGGTCCTAGTAGAAGGGGCAGGCCGCCCATCCCTCTAGGAGGAAGCTGATTATATGTAAGCATCAGATTCAACTTGAATAGGAAAAGAAAAGAAAATATGTTCTCAAAGGACCCCAAACTCTATATCTGTATGTGGACTTTTTCAGGCCTCTTTTTTCTTAAAGTAGTAACTCAAAGTACCATCTCCCTCTCTCTTTGTTTTTCCCCATTGACCGCTAAAAATAATAATAGCTACAGTTTTGCTGCATATTATGTGCCAGGCACTGTGTATGCACTTACATCATCTCATTTTAAAAAAACCAAACCTGTTGCCACTGTGTCTATTCTGACTCATATGACCCTATAGGGCAGAGTAGACCTGCCCCATAGGGTTTCCAAGGAGTGGCTGGTGGATTTGAACTGCTGACCTTTTGGTTAGCAGCCAAGCTCTTAACCACTGCATCACCAGGGCTCCTTAATCCTCATAACCTTATATAAATTGATGATATTAGAAATGGGGAAGCTGAGGGTCAGAGTGGTTGCATAACTTGCCAAAAGTCACCCAGCTAGAAGGGAGTAGACCTCGTTTGTGTGATTCCAGAGCCCACTTCTTTTTCAGTCAGTTTTACCTGCCCTCCACCAAAGCACTCCACGCAAACAACAACACAGAGGCACGCTTTAGGGTTGGTCCTGGCCTGTGGCTGATGGTGTTACTTCCCTTGTTGAGTCTCACCTTCTTGAGACAGTTTCTGTGCCTCTGTGTGTGGCAGTACAGCCTTGTTTCCCACATCATGCACTGGGTTCTTCCATGGGTTACTTTCATGGGTTACCTGATTTTGCCCCACTTCCTGTGACACTCAGAAGGTTCTGTTTTAAGTTCCAGCTACAGTTATGGCTCCTTATGGAAAAGGCCTGTCTGTCTGACTGGCCAGCAAGGTTTGACATGATCTGCCATATATAGTTGGTTCCCAAGGTGATGTAGCTAAGATCTTTATTTCTAATCATAATATTTCACATTTATTCTTTACATGCTGATCAGCGTAAGCCATCTAGGGTGGTAGCAAATCTTGCTTTAATTTCCACTGTGATGGATTATTACTTCACTTAAAATGGTGTTTAATTTGTACATGTGCCCTGAGGCTTTTAAATATCAAACTCATTTGATTATTGTTGGAAATAAATTTAGATTCCACAATATTTTCGCCGAGTTGGACTCATGCAGCCTGTGGCCTCATTACCAGGTACCATAGTCCAAAAACTAAAATGTCATGGTATATTCTGAAGCCCCTGCCCTTCTTGGTGTCCATCTTTTTTTTTTTTTTAATCTTCCTCAAGAAGCTTTTATTTTTCTTTTAAGAAGAAAGTAGTAGGTGATTATTTTTTGGTCACAGCTCTTTTTTTTTCCCCTCTCATTTAGCCTCCTCTCTCCTTTCTTCTCAGCCACACAGGCCCTCTCTTCATCCTGCACCACCTTTCTTTCCAGTTACCCTTTCTCATTCCTTCTCATTTGCCCCATGCCAGTTGGACAAGATTTCATATTTCAGCAAGCTACTTTTTATTTTCTTTCTTCTTTTGAGGGAAGGAGTCACTTCTTTTCGATGCCCTTGAACTCATTATATTAAAGAGCGAGAGGAGCAGAGTGACTCTCCAGCAGCAGAATCTAACGTCTGTTGTCTGGGCTCTCCAGGGCTTTTTCTAGCACCAGGCAGCCTGGGTCACTGCTGTGGGTGCTTATGTGGTGGATTTTAATTGTCTTTTTTTTTTTTTTTTAAGTGGAGCGCTATAGTAAGGACTGAATGTGTGTGCATAAACGCTTATCTTTCAGAAGGTACAGAAGGTAGTCTTGAATAAGTTTTGGGATTTGGATTTGAAACTGAGCATAACCCTGCCTGTGAACTTTTTATTTTTTTGGTTTCCTACAAAGAGAAGTGAGAGAAGAAATAATTCTCCTCCAGGGAGATGCATAATTTAGAAGCTGCCTGCATGTATAAGAAAACAGACTCTGTGGCAGCCGGATAAACCCAGATTGCATCCAGGGCTCATTGTTTCCTTTCCTTCCTCAGTGTTTGTGTAAGACAGATGGGTCCAGTGCTCCTCACGCTCCCCACTGGGCAGCTAAGGCTGTGGACTTCAGAAGCGGTTGGCCTGGGGGAAGCCTCCCGCTAGCTTTCCCCGACTGTCTTTTCTGTTCCTTACACTAACACCGCCTCTTTCTTTCCTGGAAATGCTGTCCTTGTTGAGAGTGGAACAGGAATATTAAAGTTTGAGCAGATTTCCGAAAACTCCGAGTGGGGTACTTGGTTTTTTCTACCACCTGTAACACTTCAACACCCGACAGCATTGGTCTGTTATGGGTTTTTTTTAGTAATTTATTTTATTATTTTTCGTTGTTGTTGAGAATATCCACTGTGGGCTTTTGGTTTGTCCATTTACCTTACCTACTACCCAGGGTGTGGTGAAGGGGCTCTGGATCCAAGTGTTCACGTATCTTCCTTTCCATCACCTGTTAAGCCCAGGCACATCCCCGAGGCAAAGCTGGGGGAACTATTTCCCACTTGCATGTCCTTCAAGTACACCTATAATGTTCATTTTAACCTGATCTCACATCTTTAAAAATAGTGGTGGGAGACTGAGCAGGGAGTGAATGTGCCTGGGTCCGCAGAGGTTGGAATCCTTTCAATAGTTAGACATCTGATGTGTAATTGGTCACCCTGGATATGAGGTCTCCTTGGCTCAGGGCTGTGGAAGGGAAATGCTATTACTAGGGGATAAGGGGCGGTGACCACTGTTTTCTTTCAGCCTAATGCTGGCCAGTGGTGTTGGCCACTAGGAAGATGTATGGAGTCTCAGGGGTGTGGTGACCTTCAGTGATTGCTGTGGTGGGAAGCTTTCAAGGAGGAAGGCAGCTTCCCTTTGGAAGATTTGGTTCCAATGAGGTTTAAGGGAAAAGAAGACTGTGATTTGCAGGCTTTCTCTAAACATCCAGATGGATCCCAGGCATAATCCAGAAAGGAAGATTTTATTTTGTTTGTCTTTATCCCCCATCTCTGTAAATAATTTTATCTTCAAAGCATGATGCGGGCATTAATTACACTCACTGTTTTCCTGGGAGATAGGCAAGTGGGAACACTCACCCCCATTAGTGAAACCCAGGGAACGGACAGGTTGTGAAGCCTCAGGGAGGTGAGCCACAGAGAAGCAGAGTGAGTCTAGCACGTTTAGGCCTCATGGCTCTGCCCTCAGACCTTTACCTGGAGGTCACTTGGTTGCCCTGGGAGCCGCCATGCTTTCTCAGTGTTCTTAGTTCCCAGTAGAATAAAAGAATCCGTGGCTATGGTAGGAGAGATGTTTGGTACTGTGGGCTGCACGTGGGGAGTCTGAGGGTTGTGGAGAGATTGTAGTAAAATTTACTGTCTCAGATGCAGGAGTCGAATTATGCTGTTGATTTCATTCATTTACTTGCTTTTTCAAAAAAAAGTCCTGAGCATTTTCTGGGCAAGGTACTGCAAAGGAAGTCACTTCTCCCAAAAGAGCTGGTTAGCCATGAAGAATTCTGCTGGTATGGAAGTTTTCCCTTTGTCTACCACGCTCAGTCCGTAAGCAAAGAATGATGTGAGGTTTGTTGCCTCTGCAGTTGGTGGTTTCAAGTGTTGGGAGGACTCCTGGCATCTGGAAACGGATGAGAAATCCCTGTGTGACTGTTAGATGTAGTGAATCATTAGAGGCTGGATGTCTTCTTTTCCTCTAGCCATTCATCTTGGTTGGCACAGGAGAGGAAAGCCCTTAGCAGCTCTCTCCTGGGGCCTGTGGGCAGCACATTTTCAAGCCTGGCCTTTTCTAGGGCTTCCTAGGGATGATGATGATGCCAGTGTGCTGGGTGTCTGCCGAAGAGAAGGGAGTCATTTTGCCCTGTAAATGTTGCCCTGTCTGGGTGGTAGTTGGGCTCTAGTTGCTTTGTCAGAAGCCTTGTTCCAGCAGCTAATGATATTCCCTTTTTCTTGGCACTGCAGGCTGCTGAGAACCAGCCCTAGACCTCTGTTTGAAGGTCCATCCTCTGAAGACATCACCAGTGTGTGGAGCCTGCCCCACACCCACCCCCTGCCAAACCACGGCCTTTACCTGTGTCTTCCAGTGTTTCCCGTGCGACCCATCCTGTGGGAGTGCCCCGTGGGCCACCCCAGAGTTTACCCCACACTCAGCGGCGCCAATGGTGAAGATGACAAGATCCAAGACTTTCCAGGCATATCTGCCCTCCTGCCACCGGACCTACAGCTGCATTCACTGCAGAGCTCACTTGGCCAATCATGATGAACTCATTTCCAAGGTACGTGTTCCCTGCAGGCCCTTCGTTACCTGTCCCAGGGGAGGGTACTTCCTGCTCCCAAGATTGCACAGGTTTGCAGACTCTCCCAAAGAGACTGGGCTATCTGTACTTCCGTCTTTAGAAAGGGAGGGCTGACCTGAATGACTGTGTCACTCAGCTGAGAAATAACTCTGGGTTGTTATTTTTTTTTTGTTCAGTTTCGTTTCTTTTTTTTATTGTGTGTTAGGTAAAACTTGACAATTTAAGTTAGTTTCTCATACAAAAATTGTTATGTGACCCTAGTTGCTCTCCCTGTACTGTGACAGCACACTCCTCCTTTCCACCCCTGATTTCCCATGTCCATTCAACCAGCTCCTGACCCTCTCTGCCTTCTTATCTCACCTCTGGACAGGAGCTGCCCATTTAGTCTCATGTATCTACTTGAGCTAAGAAGAATACTCTTCACGAGTATCATTTTATGTCTCTGGGTTATTTTTTAGGACATCTTAGGAACAGTGATGGATGGACAGCATGCTAGTTTAATTTGTCATTTTGGAAATTAGATGTCATCCCCACTGGAGGCTTTGGGGGCTAGTAGCTTACAGGTGAGAGGTGGGAGAGGGTGGTGAGTGATTGGAGCCTTATGCTGTGCTTGCTTGGTTTAGGTTGGCAGATGAGCAGCATGTAGAGTGCTGCCCACTTGGAAAGTGAATATTGAAGAAAGGCTGGTGTGGGGCGGGGTGGAAGGGGACAGGTGTCTTGTAAGAGGGACATAAGAGAGGACATTGTCTTCAAAGACCCTGGGAAGGTTATGAGACTGTTGAAGTACTAAGAAAGGTGGCCTGTTGAAGAGATGACCCACTGGCTTTTGAGTCCTGTAGGGCTTACACTTGAGGTAACATGGTACCACTGTTGATCACAATCAGAAGAAAGACTGGAATCTTATTTTCCCTGAGGAGCCTTGGCAACTGCTTCCTGAGGTTGGGGCAGGGGTTGGGAAAAAAAAAAAAATTCCTGTTGCATTTGTGCAGTCCAGGAACTGGATCCTTTAGGCATCATCCTTAGGATGAAGAGATTCCCAGGAGAGGAGAAACAGGTTTTACTAGGCTGCATTACAAGGAGAAGGGGATTATGGAGGGCTTTTCCCTTAAAAGCGTCTTTCCCCAGAACTTGGACTTCATGCCATCATTAAAGTAAAACAAAAAACTTTATGCATGCTCAGATTAAAAAGAAAAATCAGTGTTCCTGGAAAAAATCAAGCTGTCACTTGACTTTGTGGTGCTTAGCATGAAATCTACCAGGGCTAAGCTGGCCACAGGACAGGTTTTACCAACATGGAATAGGGAGTTAGGGAGAGGACAGCTGTGTGCTCGTAGCAATGATCTGGAATTCCTGGGGGTGCTTCCTGACTTAGACCCGGGTCTTTGGAACTTCCCCTCAGCTGGAGTTGGCGTTTGCCTTTCTAGAGAGCTGCATCAAAGAACAATAAGCCTAAGTTCTGTCCCAGACCTATAGCGGATCTATCTCCAAGAACTGCTAGAAAAGGTGGCATCACTTTCCTTGCCTCTGGCTTGGTAGCCCCAGCCAAAGAGGGATGAAGGATCAGTCAGTGGTTATCAAACAGTACTGTCCAGCTGGCTGATTTGACACAGGAAATGAAGAAGGCTGGCTGAACAACCAAGTCTGTGGTAGTGAGGAGTCTCAGATGAGGACTGAGGTCTGAGGTCCTTTTGTCCCTGCTCACGGGGACTCAGTGAGACTCTAGCAGGAAAGAGCCTGTCTGGAGCCCTCAGAGTCTTGCCATTTGGTTGGGCTGCCATTCTGCCCCACTTTCCCTTCTCACCATTTCTGCTATAGTTGCTTTCTCGTTTATGCTATTTGATTCAGCCAGCCTTTAGCTTCCTTCTCTGTCAACTCATCTCAGATTCCATCTGAAGTTTTGGGGAACCCCTGAGCCTGGCCATTTGGATGTGGGGAGGCTGTGTCAGTGAGAGAAGAGAGGAGTCAGTCCCCTTGGCTTTGGAAGGGGACCTACAAGGTTGGAGAGGAGTTCTGAATTGTCCTTTTCCCAGAAATCTCCTGTATCTAGTGGAGAAGCCAAGGCATCATTTTAATACAAGAAGAAGTGCTATGTGTCATAAGAAATTTAGGTACCAACAAAACACTTTTGTGGAAGAGGATGAAAAACTTACTATTTATTGAGCACGCACTATGTGCTAAAGACTGCTACTTGTCACTTCATAAGTGTTATCTCACTTAACCCTCATGAGAAGTCTTTAAGGTAGGTGATATTATTTTATTTTATGTGGATGATGAAGCTGAGACTCATAAAAGTGGTCCAAGTTCTCAAACTAGTGATTGGCAGGGCCAGAGGTTCAGAGAAGAGAGAGATTGCTTTGAGCTGGGGGTTTGGGAGAATTTGTGGAAGAGGTAGTATTTAAGTGGGACTTTGTAAAATGAGCAGAAGCTGAATATGTGGAGATGGTAATGGCATTCAAAGTTGATGTCTTATCTGTTTGGCCTGCTCTGCAGGGCCTTTGACAGTTTCTCAGAGCCTGATTTTTAAGTTACGCCTCCTGCCAGGCCCTGTTCCTTGCTTTATGCTTCAGCCACCAGGGAGTAAGCAATATACCTGAATATGCAGGTGGGGCTATTTCAGACCTCTGTTCCGCTTCCAAGAACATTCCTCCTCCATCTCTTTCCTCTCTCTCATGAGCTCTTATACATACTTTATGGCCTGGAACTGTGTCTTGTGGTCTCTGTGCCTCTGGCTCAGACCCGTGGCAAGAGCTCAGTAAATGAACAAATAAATGGACAGGTAGAGTGTGAACACTGGGAGAGAGCAAGTGATGAGCAAAAGGACTTTGCTGGCCTCCTGTCCTCCTTCCTGCCCCTTTTGGGGCAGAAAGGCTCATTCACAAGTCTAGGCCAAAGTCAGCACAGGCTTCATTTTCATTGCTGTGACTACAACCAGTGCACAGATGGGCTGCATTAGAGCTTGATGATTTAGAGAGTTGGGTTAAATGCCTAACTGTGGGGAAAGATGAGGGAACTGCGGCTGGCCTTGCACAAAGATTCCTTTATTTCACTCCACAGCCACCCCCAGTGTTAAATAATCCATAGATTCTTATGCAGGTCTGCTTGATGGAAAGATCATTGCCCCAGCCCCCTCCTTGGAAAATGGGTCTTTCTTTTAATTTTTTTTTTCCTCTCTCCATCTAAGAAAGTTCAGGGAGAGAATGTCTCTCCTGTTCTCCTCTCTTGACTTAATCTCCTACGCGGTTTCAGAGTCTGCCCAGTGGGAGTTGGGAGCTGGGAGGCAGATAACTGGAGCAGCAGTGTAATTAAATGACACTTTGTACTTGTAATAGAGCCTTTCATCTGAAAGCTTGACATTCGCTGTTTGGCCAAAAGAAAAAAAAGTTGAGTTGGGTTTCATTATGGAGAAAGCGCCACAAAGGTCCCCAGAATTAATGCTCTGAGTATATGCCCAAGCAGAGAACTGGGAACAGTACCTGGACTTCAGCTCCCTTTCTGTCCTCGTGGCTTAGCCTAGATGGAACTGTATAGTTTGAAAGTTTTAAACAGTTAAGGTCTATCTTGATGTGGTGGGGAAAAGAATCCTGCACTAGGTCCTCTACCTTCTCAGCTTGCACTGGATCCCTAGAGGCCTACTTGCCTGCCATCAGCTATCCAATCTCTGCATCTCGGTTTTGCACCCATAAAATGGGTAGAATAATATTTGTGTGTCTTAAGAGCTAGTAGCCAGCATTTATTCAGTGCTTACTATGTGCCACCTTTCATTTAATCCCCACCACAGTCTTAAGAGGTAGGAATGCCTTTTTTTTCTTTTTGAAGGGAGCAGGTTTACCTCATTGGATTGTTATGAGGCTCAGATGAGATCATGGATGTGTGGGTGGTTTGCAAATTACAAAACTCAATGCAATATAATTGCTTCTCTTGGCCTTGCTGTTAAAAAAAGGTGAGGTAGGGCCAGGGGGATTGTTCTTGCATGACACTAAACAGATTTAGTTTAGCCAAGATAGTTTCACTTTAGACCCTGGAATACAGGAGGTGAATATAAGAGCAAAGGGTGATGGAAGTCAGCGACAGCAAAGCTGAGTGTATCTGCTTTGAAACGAAGCATTTGCTCTGTAGGATGGTAGGGAAGCAGGGGAACTCTTTGAATTGATGACAGAACTATCTAGGGAATGTGCTGAGGCATCCTACAGTTTCTTTCTTGGGGGTGTTGTGGTCTAAATGCCGGAGTGTTTGCACGCAGAGGTATTTTGAGTCGGCATGAGGAATTGCTCACACTGTTGTTTCTCCCTTAATGGTGCAAGGCCCAGTATAAAAATATACTTTGGTTATAAAATAATGATAGCTTCGATTGCAATAGTTAGTTGCCCTGAGTGAGAAGAATCTAAGTACTCATTTTTTGAATCCAGTCTATGTATTGGGGAAACCTGGATCTTCACAAAGCTTTTGAATTAGACTTTTCTGTCTGTAGCCCTTCCCTTGCCTCCCAGCTAACCCCTTGATGGCATGCATTATGGAGTAAGCCATTTAGGATAGTGAATTGGATTCATCTCTCAGGAACCCACTTTGCGGAAGTGTGGCTTCATTCCAAGACACTTAGGGTGCTCCAGTGCCCCGAGTCCTTGGAGGAAGGGTATTGTAGGAGACTGTAGAGTGAGTGTCCAGTGCAAGTGGTGGGAAGACATCTTTTGCTCATTCTCAAACTGTTCTAAGGTAATGCCATGTGAAATCTGCAGATTATCTTCTGGTGACAAATACAGAATTCCCAGCATTGAAGATTATCCAGCCTAAGCCCCTCTTCAAGAGGAAACAGGCCACAAGCGTCTCAGTGACCAGCCAGAGGTCACACAGCCTCATGAACCAAGAATCTCTATCTCACATCACCTCAGATGTGCTCTTTGTGTGGCGCCCTGGCCTAACTAATTCTCACCTGCTGGGCAGTTTGTCTGAGGTTGGGAACTTTTAGGAGGCAGATTGTTTTT